CATTTCCCTTTCTACTTAGCGTTCTGAGTGCAGATTCAGACTTACGGTCCTTCTCAATATTACCGGCAAAGCAGCTATTGCACTTCTCGTACAGATCGCAGACATTCCAAAGACTTTCATTTCCATCTCAAACTGAGTGTCTCGAATGGATAGAGATTTCCTGGACTTCAAAACACAGTACTCTCGTAAAGAACTCAATGTGATGACGTCCCTACTGCACATACCATCAGATCCGGAGCCTCTGTTCGTAATCCCGCTTGGTACGAATTAACCGCCAGGGAACGGCCAGTTTACCCAAATGTATTTACAAGTTGCACATTCTACTAGGACACAGCTCTCAGACCTGAGGAGAACTTCTAGTCGCGTCTTCATCTTCTTCCTTAAGTCGTTCCAGGCAGATTCCTCGAACCTTCGTTGCCGCGGTCCAGCCACGACAGGATCCAGGGGGCCCTGAAGATGGGCAAGGCGTCGGCGTGGGAGACAGTCGACTACACAACTCAGAGGCGGTGTGACACTGTTCCATTTTATTGCGATTTGAGTACAACTTTTATACTTTCTATTTTGGCATTTGATTATACTTTGTGGTTAAGATAGCAGGGAGTTAAATTTCTGTGGTTAGGCAAAGCAGAAAATCTTATAGAGTATATTATTATTAATATTCATGATTAACTAATACATTCTCTCAATCATTAGAACAGAACTACTTGATGGAATAATCTAAACTTTTAATTCTTATATCTATTACGTAAGATACAGTTTGACTTAAGTAAAGGTGATAGATAGATGTATTCATAACAGGAGGCAAGGGAGGAAAACTGATAGGCCAAATTTTTATATTGTAATTATGCAAAAAGTAACCAAAAGAAGGAAGTCCTACCTTTTATATTTTGACAACATATGGAAGTAAAGGATATTTTGGGTTGTACGTTTGTGATTACTATGTATATTTACCTGTTTTGATAATGGGAGATTTTTTTGTTAACATATTAATGACTTGGAAAAGAGTTTTTAATTTGTTGAAAGGTTGGTATTCTTGACATAGTTGTTTAAAGATGGAGGACTTGGGAAGTAGAATAAATTACAAATTAACATGAAATATTAGAGTTTAAAAATATAATAGTATTGTACTACTTCAGCATTTTATCTTTATGTGGAATTATTGTTTAAGTGATTGGTTAAACATCATAGAAGAAAATTTGTTGCAGTTTACTGTCTCCTTTGATTGGCAAATTAGCCATTCTAACTATGAACTGTTTGCTCATATCTACTGCAGGCTTAGTCCTCCTGTCCTTCCACTGTGCTCTTTAAAGGAAATACATTTGTCTACTGATAAATTTTTCAGAATGGAACCATCTGAAATTACCAATGGTTGTTTTCTTTCTGTTCTAACAAGGGAGGTAAGGAAAAAATATCCCAATGTATATCATACTTTGTGATTAAGAAACAACAAAGCCTCATAAAAAGAACCTAGGAATGTTATGAACATTTTATAATGGCGTGCTTATTTTATAAATAACTAATGGGCAGGAAAAATTATTACTGTGTAGCAAAAAAATTTCCTATTTTTATCTTTATACTTCTCAGTTTTCCTCCCTTGCCTGCTTTCCATCCTCATCTTTACAAGCACTTTCTCAACATCCAGTTCTTATTTTTCACATGTAAGAAATAAGCTGTAATTTTTTTCTGTCAGGTTCATAAATGGGGAAGTACAGAAAAAGTCATTTGCTGAGGCTTATGAGATATATTAGGGACTAAGGCCTAAAACCCATCCATTTCTTTTAGTATCATATACTTTTATTTTTGCTGTATCAGTATTTAACATTGAAAAATATTTGTAATATACACACTAATAGTTAACTCCCACATTTAGTAACTGCTTCTTTAATTGTAGCGAGACCCTTCTGAGACAGTGTCTGTGAAAGATGTTTTGGCCCGTGCTGCAGCAAAGGGTCTACTGGATGGGATTGAGTTGGGTAAATCTTCAAAACGAGAAAAGAAGAAGAAAAAATCAAAAACATCATTGCCAAAAGCTTCCACTACTGATAGTAATGGCATTCAAATGAAAATTGCTGAGTTCCTGAGTCGAGAAACGGATGCAAAGGCTAATCGGTTAGAGACATCAACAACAAAAACATCTGCTCCACCGAAAAATACAATTCAAGTGGCTTGTTCCTCACAGGTCAGAAAACCCAGCAAGCCTGTTACCAATCCTTTAGTGCCTACGTTTATGAAGAACACATCTCCCTCCAGACCCCACCAACGCCAAGCAAACTTCGTAAGACCTCGTCCAGAGGACAAAATGGTTGTACTGAAACCTGTAGAGATTGTTTTGCCTCCAGTAATGTTGCCATTTTCAAATCCCCAAGGGATCAGACCTCAGATACCAACTCAAAATTTTTACTACCGTTGGGTTGGACCCAAGACTGTTGTGCCCAGCTACCTTTCTACACCATCAGTATCCAGAAAAGGGGAAAAGCCTAAAGAAAATTTACCTTCTTCCCTACTCAGACGTCCTCGACCATGGCTTTGACTGTCTTGTTTTTTTACAGGGGTCAAGAGCAATTGGCTTTTTTTCAAAGTCTGACATTTCTCTGAAGGTTAGACATCGCTACACAAGTAACTAATCTTTTTGGTCACTTAGTACCTTCTAAATGTTGTATTACCTTCAAGAGAATTAAGACAAGTGAAAACAATAATGTAGGTGGGTAAGCAAAGCAAAATTCAGAGATTTCAACAACTGAGGGCTAATCTGTTGTAGAATGTCCACTTGTAGACTCAGTGTCAGCTGTTAGAACTTGTCTCACTCTTTCAGTGTGGACTTAGGACACCACTTTTAAAAGAAAGCTGCGACAACTTTTCCTGAAGGGAAACACCGTCTACCTTGTAACAGGCTTTTTTTCAAACTTAATTTGTGAGGCAATTTATTAGAAAGCATAGATATGGAAGAGGCTGACCGTCTCGCACTGAGTCTAGTTAGTTGTCGTTTAACATTTTGTCACTACTGAGGTTCATTTTTTTCTTAAATATCAAAATATTCTTTAAGCAGGGGATGATATGAGTTTTATAATGTGGTTGAAGTTGAGTATGAGTAAGAAGAATGAGAAGTTCCAAAGTTCCAGGTATAGGTAGTTCAAATGTCCATTTACAGAGTGAAAACTGTTTCTCCTTGGAAAAGCTTCCAGGATCCTGAGCAGATCGAACATTATCAGCTCTCCCTTCTGTTTATGCCAAATACTGTTGTAAAAAAAGTGACTGTAAGCAAATTTCCATCTAAATAGTAATAATTCTGAGGAAGAGGCAAAATTTCTGATTTTATTCAAAGATCAGGTCAAATGCTGAAATCTATAAATCATTTCAAATGGCACACAGTAATCAAATTTGGTAAATCATTTCTGATGCACGATTAAAATATATTATAGCACTATGTTAATTATATTAAAAGTCAATTCATCTTGCATGTATTATCAATTGCCTACCAAAAATTGGTATGATTATCATTTCTGGGTCTATTGATCTTTTTTTCATCATGGCGAAAGAAATTGCTTGACATTAAATTGAGTAAGTTATGACTATAAATCATATTGTTCAAAAAATATACATAGGCACATTCATAAAGTTCGAATTTAAAGCTCTATATTCAGAATCCAGTTGTGTCGAACAATGTTATATAAATTCCTAAATGTCCAATTCAAGTGGCATGATTTTAGTAGAATATTATCCTCTTCATGATGAATGTTTAGGTCTATTTCAGCTCTAATATTCTATTCTTTATTTTCTCACTTTAAGTGAGGATAAAAAATGGTGAATATCACTTAGTAGTAATAAATTTTTACTTTAGCTAAGGATTTACATTTATGAGTAAACTGTGTCAGTGAAGGAAACAACTTTTTATACTTGAGCCAGGCTTATTATATTTTAAATCCCAAAAGAATTCTCATATGTAAATTATGGCTTAAAATATACAGAAATATTTTGAATGCTAAGCTTATTTTACCGATTTCAAAAATCAAAAGCTATGTATTTCTTTGCTCTAAAGTTATAGTGTTTCATCCTCTTACTCCTCCTATCTGGCTTAGATATTGCATGCCTCTGGGGGGCCAGTGCAGTTGAACTTTGTTCAGTAAAGAGCTGGTATCTTATCCCAGGAATCCTTTATCTTTTTCCTACCTCCTTCCCCCTGTCCCAGACTGAAAAGTACTCCATTGTCCAAAATTAGCAGGCCCGAGATTTTAATTTTTTGTGATAGAAAACTCACTATTATGAAAGTGTTCAGGGTATTTTTCAGCTCTCTATAGCAGCATGTGATTCATGCTTTAGCCACTTATATTTGTTATCTCATAACGTGTATCCTGACACTAAATGATTTTTCTCTTTAGAAGTACATGGAGATTCTGAAACCATTCATTAATTAATCCTGCAGTTTTGAGAATCTTCTAAGAGTGACATGATCAATTATTTAAATACTTCGGTAGAGTAAAAAGTACTTGGGATAAAAACTGTGTGAGAATTCCAGTGAAGGAGAATATTGATGACATTGACATTTTCTTGAGCTTCTTAAGTGTTGCAAAAAATCTTAAGAAATGTAATTATTGGTATTTAGATACTCTAAGAGCAAATTCAGATTTTTATTTGAAGTTACCACTAAGTAATACCTGAAACCAAAATGAAATTTTGCTCCTTGAGAGTAACTGCCTTTGATAGAAGAGATAAACTACCAGGGGAAATGCAAGATGAGCAAAAAATGGGTACATACTTTAAATTCTATTTATCTTCTTCCACATATCTAACAGTTAAACTAAACCAGATTCAACTGATTTTTCTAGCTATCTTTGATTTGGGATTTTGTGCCTGTACAACTCTATTCTTCATCCTTTGATGTCAGGTTCTTAAAGGAAATCAAAGATAGACTATCTTAAAATTAGAAAGACTGCTTATACAAGCCTCAAGTTGGTGACTAAAGAAGCTTGTGGCCACGATGCCAGCTGTCCTTCCTGATCACCAAATAAAGACAGTGTGAAAATTACTCAAAATTTACTTTCTAGTTCTTACCAGGTGGAAATAGGTAATAACTAATCAAAGTAGAATCTTATATTACTAAAATCATTTTTAATTTGAGGTAAGGATAATTTGAAAATAAAATGACTAGTGTGGAGACAGTAAACTTATATTTCTATTCCTGGATATATATGACTGAGATGTCAGATAAAAGAGCCAAACACTTTATGCAGCTAAGTTTATTCTTACAACATATTACATTTAAATGTGTAAAAGTGGTCAACAGCAAAGGGGGCAGAAAGCAAAACCAAATGTTCTTTCAGGATAAACAAGCTGCTTTGGAGTGCTCTTATTGATAAAGTATGAGCAGTATCTTCCCTGAAGCTGAAATAAACTTCATTTTACTGGCTGTATAACACACGTTAGCTGTATATTAGGTTAAGTAAGCTTGTCAATTAGAGAGCGAATGGTTTTACTAGTTAAACTGCTGATGTCAGGGAAATATTTTTCATGTTGTTTATGAAATCTTCTATTTGTGTTGTGATGCTTATGAAATGAACGTCATACAAGGAGGAAAGATTTAGGGCTTTAGTAAATGACTTTCTGTAGAATTGTCTTACCAATGTCCATCATAAAATCATAAGGTAGGTTTTTAAAAAAGTAGCAGTGCCAACAGTTTATCGTCAAGAACTTATTTTAATGGAAATGAGTCTAATGTCCCTTCATGCAGTAAGACAGACACAAACAAAAAACAATGGTCCTAATTAGCTATGGTTGGAAACAAAGGGCCTGGGGATTTGTCTTTTAGATGAGATTACATGTGTTGTGAAGGATATAAAAATGAAGCACCAAGCAGTGCTTTAGTTTGCAAAGTAAAAACTTAAGCCATAGTCATGTTGGCCATTCCCCTTGATGCTGCCAAGGAGCACATATAGGAGGTGGCAAGTTGTGTCTATCTGGCTGCTTTTAAAAAATAAAAGAAACTTCAAGCATTTTGCCTTTTCTTCTACATATTCCAATAAAAATGTGACTACAAATCATTATAAAACCACCTTTTAGGCAATGTATAGTTCACTGAGATTACTTAGACCTGGATACATTGTGAGAAAATATCCAGTAAAGATAATACATTAACACAATAATGCAGTGTATTTCAGTAAAAATAGAATAAATAAAATAAAAATATTTTAAGCTGTATTTAACAGGTTAATTAAAAAATGATAAGACATACAAGGCATAGTGAACATGGCTGCCCATTTACCAAATCACAGATATAAAGAATGCATAGATAACTGAAGTGCCACTACAATATCAGGTAAAACACTGGCATTCTTTCACAGAAAAATACACACATTTTCATACATACTTTTTGGCCATGGCAGAAAGTGTCTGGATACACTGTTTAACATAATTAATTTACAAAATTAATCGCATTTAGTATGCAAAGCTATCTTCAAAACAAAGTATCTGCAGTAAAGTTTTCAATATTTAAAGTCTATCATTCATCTTAATGTGTCCTTTAATTGCATATATAAATCAGTTTGCGACTTAAAGCTAGCTCAGTATTCTTGATCCTGAAAACAAACATAAGCCTTAAAAGTGAATGGGATTTTAGTAGACATTTCCGATATAAAAATGGATTATTCATAATTTTGGTTTATTAAACTAAAACATTTCACTGTGGTGATCAAGGTGAACGATGATCATGACTGAATTTTGAATAGCTTTCAAAGGGCACAGTAAGGATTTTCTAAATGCAGTAATTTCTTAAGATGGCATTGGTTACTTCAGATAGAAGTACATAGGCTGGTGAAAAGTATAACTCATTTCAAGAGTGGCATCTTTTTTGTTATAACATGAGAGTGCTAGCAACAATTCTATAATTCTGAGAGGGAACAGAGTCAGGAGGCCACCTACTCATTCCATCATGTTCTCTGGTGGTCGAGTATCATGAATTAGAAACATTTCTACCACATGTAACATCATCTCTGGAAAATTTGGTTGAGTTGAACAGGCTGTACTGCATGTAAAATCCTGTCCCCTACAACATGTTTGAGGCACACTGCAGAAAAACAGTCCCGGACTGAGAGAAGGCAAGGGTTTATAATTCACACCACTGCGTGAGTAATTTGAACATATTTCTCTACTTACATAGAGATTTCTTAAAAATACCTGGCTATGCCCAGAGTAATTTTGGAGAGACTTTCTGATTGGTATGCAAACAGCATAACTGATAACTGGGAGTTGGGAAGTGTGGGGCCTAGTCCTGGTTTTCTCACTGTTTTGTGACATCTTAGGCTAGGTGTCTGAGCCTCTTGGTACTTCATATTTTTATTTCTCAAATGTGTTTAGTACCTTCTCTACCTTATAAGGCTCAAATGTGATAAGAATGTGGAAACCATATGACAAGTACATAGCAGTGGATAAAGCAGTTAACTTTTATTATTGGATATTGTAAAATGTTAATTTTGACATTAAAAAGTAAACAAGACTGATGTTTAGATTGATCTCCTTAGCAAATTCTTTTTAAAATAATGTCAACAAGGGTATAAATCAGAATCTTTACAGCTAAGTTTCTTATCTACAGAGAAAGAAACAGGAAAGTGCTATTTTGGGGGAAATTTGTTAAATAGTCCATTGTTCTTATGCATATTTTGCTGATAGGAAATTTTTAAATCTTGAACGTAAAATGGAAAAAATATAAATTTAAAAATATACCAAGTAGAGTCCAACAAATTCCAATATCAAATACATAAATTCAAGGAAGGTTCAATTTAATGTAATTTGTGGCCATGGACGGTACATGATGGACAGACATCTTTCTGGGCAAAAAAGCATTAGTGTAAGATTAAACTAGATGTAGAATCCTAGCAGAATGTTTAGGAGGTAGACTAACAAAATAACATGGTGGTGAAGATCTAAAATATAAATGACATTTTCTCGATTCCAAAATGCATACTGGCTAATTATCAAACTAAGGATGAAAGGCTTATGAGGACTATTTCATTTTAATGTTTATGTAGAGAATGGCTATAGTGAACGATAATTCTCTAGCTGCACTGTATAATATAAGGCAGAAGTTTGACTACGTCCCACCTGAAATGCATTATGATTTTGTTACTCTCTTTCTTTCTCTAAATAATGAGTTTGAAAACTATCTGAAAAGAAAGGCTACTTTTGTTTGATTTTAATTTCTGAAATTTGGCTTTTCAATTATGAAGTTTCACTTTTTATCCAACATCCCATAAACAGCTATAGACATGAAATGGTGTCCATGTATCCAAGAGCTCAAAGAAAGCTGCCAGTTGGTTTCTATACTGATGCCAATAGCCAATTTTGTCAACCAAAAGGTTCAATTTTATGAACAACTAAAAAACTCATCATCCTATTTCTACAGCATTTCAATGGTATCTGGTATACAGTATCTACTCCAATGTGGAAAAGAGGGCGAGTGCTGTAGGACTTAAAAGTTGCTTGTGACAGGTCCAGTCAAGGAGACAGTGAAACTAATTCAGGTGTCATTCACTCCAAGGACTCAGCATTAGTTCATTAGGAGGGGTGTGGCCACATTCTTCTCTGTGTGTGTGAAGTAATGTTCACGATATTTACAATAAGACCTTCCACTGCTCATGATGTAATTTACTGACAGCAAAATATGTCATGCTTCTTTTCATATCACATGATGGTGGCAAGACGAGAGAACATGCTTGTCTAACACTGTTTGGTTAAGGATAATTTCTCTGAAGACAAAGCATCAGCAACTGAATGGAAGGTCAGATATCAGTTCATCTTTAGTGTAGCTATTCAATCTTCAGGTAAATATTACAGAATCCCTTAACATATGCAGCTAAGGCGTTTCTGTGACAGGGCGTTTCTGTTTTAAAGTGTCAATGAGGGATAAGACCCCTCGTTTTACATTGGTTGTGACTCTTCTGGTCACTGAGTCTGCTGGCGGAGGAGGTGGTCGAACTTTCTGGGAAGGTGGCCTGGCTACCAAGCACTTCTGGTATCGTAACTGAAATAAAAAAACACATTTTATGGTTGTTAATAACGTATCATCCCTTGTTTTATGTGATTTTAATTCATCACCAATACATTGACTCCCAGAAGTTGACAACTTAGCTTCTAAAAATGAATCCAAGAGTTTATTATTTTTTTTCTTAAAGTGGAGTGTTTTAAATTCTCTTAAGAGATCATTAGGCTTGACAAAGGTGTTCTGGCTTTTGCCATCTTTTTTTTCTTCCATCTATCTCCACCCTCTACTTGTCTTCTATATTGATAGGCTACAATTCATATACCTCATAGACAAAGGACTAATGAAAGGAAAAAGGATGGGAAGAGATGGTATTGATTAAATTTTTCTCAGAGACATGTCTGAGAGGTACGTGCTCATGGCTAATTGAGAGACAGCATGGTAGAAGGGCACAGTTTGAATTTAGGCTCTATCACTTACGAATTTTATGTCTCCAAGTTATTAAATCTGAGCCTCAATTTCTTCCATTGTAAAATGGCTGATGAATGGGACTTTTATGACTAAGAAATAGCATGCCTAAACCAGGCCTAGAAAGATGTTTGTTCCCTTCCCGAGTTCTTGCTTTAAAAAAGACTGACATCCTAACAGATCTTATGACACATTTTATATACAAGTCTAAATCTTAATAGATTAATTTTAAAAAACCCATTAGCACTGGTATCACGGACAGTTTCTATGCTTCAGTAATATAGCACACTCTACCTGCTTTTGTATTAATGCAATGATAAGTAATTCTTCAAAATTAGATTAAAAGGTTAAAATTTATCAAATGTCTTTCTAATCCAAGCACTTTAAAATAATTCCATGGCTGATTTTTAAAAATCTACTTAAATATTAGTAGGTTCCTTAGGACAGCTGTGAAATAGGCCAGTATTTTCTCTGAGAAGCATAAACCATCTACAGCAAGACTCTGGGTCACAATACTCTGTCATAGCCTCCAGGCCACAAAACGAGCCCCTTCCAACTCAACCATACGAAAAACATTTTATCACATGCCTCCTCTGTGTAAGGTATCTTGGTAGGTCTGCATCGCATCCCAGTCCACATACTTCTAAAGCACAGTTATAAATGGGCAGTTGTAGCACTGTGGCACACTGGACTGGGAATTTCTAATGCTAATCTTGTATGTCCAGTCTGAGTCAAAGCTGCACTTCATGAACTTCGTTAAAGATCCCTCTGTCTTACTCTAAATTTTACCAAAGTATCTTCAGTTAGGCCTCTACCACACAGTTGCAAACTATGCCTAAAAATTAAGTAGATTTAAAAGAATGTGTTTTCGCCATAGATATTTCAGACAGTATAAATTCATGCAGATATTTCAGATGGAGTATCATACAGATGTGAATCAAGAGGAAACCTGAGTTAGAAAGGCTGGATTCAGAGTGTAAAGAAAGGTCTGATTTTATTAGCATGCCTTATACAGGATTGGCTGAGTCACTTCAGCTAATTGCCTTAATACAATTAAAATAGTAAGCACATGAGTACAAATTTCTTTGAGAAAAAAAATGGGTCTGGGAATCAGAAAACTAACTGTAATCAGTGATAAAGCTAATCATTTAGTTGTCGTTAGCATTTAAAATGTATAATTAAGGCTGAAAGCCATTCATTTTACGACTAAAACCATCTGTTATGATCCTTTTCAATTTCATGAAATACTTAGTCATCCTCCATTTTTGGTTGACTGAACTCTCCCATTTTCTGTTTTCTTTACATAGTCCCTTCATCCAATCTCAACTTCCTACACACCTGATCAGGAGGTTTATCATGACTCCTCTTCCACCCCTCCTCCCCTCTACCTGGCCCTGCTCCTTTACACACAGTCATTTTCGAGTTAGAATTCTGGCTCCACAGAACCAGGGGAAACTGTACCTCTAACAGAAGAGTGTGGGAAGAATAAAGCCAGATAAGGAGTGCAAACCACCAGGTCTTCCCTTCCCTGCCCCTTCCTCTTTCTTCATTTCAAAGATGTCTCTTATGATAAAAGTCAATCAGCTTTCTTTTCTCATTCCCCACCCTTTGCCATCTGCCATCCACCTTATCTTTTCCCCTATTCTTAACCTAGCATTATATTGTGTGTAAAACCACAGAACTCCTTCAGTTTCTCTGAACTCCATCTATTCTTGGATTCTTGGCATCTTGTGGCCAGTCTCCAAGTCATTCTAATCCAATTAGCAGGCCAATCCTCTCCTCCAGGCTCTTAATCTATCACTAAGACCATACCCAACTATATATATGACCCCATTTCAATCTGGCTTTACTGGCTCATTCCCTCAGTCTAAAAAATGCAAAAATCTCAAATGAGCAAACCACTCAATGTTGTGCTTCAAGCTATCCTTCACTATCAGACTTTGTGTGTGATTCACTTCTTTTTCATCCCAGTCACTTCTCAATCCAGTGCAGTCTTACGCTTTTAGTTATAACACTTCCTATTCTAACCAAGTTTTGGTTTATGTGTCTCCGCCATATACTTGAACTCTATAATGCAAAGATCATACCTAAGTCTTACTTGAACTTCCCAGATTCCAGGCTATAAATGGTGGACTGAATTAAATGAAGCACAGGTGCTTCAAAATTTAGCATTCCTCATTCACTGGCCAGGCGATTCTTTACAAATTCTCTCAAATCATCTGCTCCTATTTATTCCCACTCCCACTCTCCTGGTTTAGAAGCTCTGCAACTCTCACTTGGACCAGTAACTAGGCCTCCTGGCTGATCTCTCCACCTCAGCCCTAACCTTTCAACTCATTCTCCACGTTTTTTCTTTTGTTTTGGAATATACTTTTAAAACCTAATAGGATCAATTCACTCTCCTGATTAACAGTTTTTGCTGAAGATAAGCACCTTGGCATGACATTACATGCCTTTCATGATATGGATCTCATCCCCTACCACTTAGTTCTACCAACCCAACCTGCTGTTGCTAGAATATGCCACGAATCAAGATTTGATGCCTACATTCATACACTTCCCTCATTTTTACCAGAACTTTTTCAGTGCCCAGCATCATTGGTGCTCAAAGAATATTTGTGGAATGACAAAATATTTTTGTTTGTTTGAAATCATATATGTGATGCAAAGAGCACTGGCTTTGTCACCCAGAAAATGTTGGGTTGAATGCAGACTCTCTCACTTACCAACTCTGTGCCGTGGAGCTGTTCTTTCCTCTGAGCCTCTGTTTTTCGCTAAAGAAAACAGAACTATCTAACAGGGTTGTTGGAAGGATTGAGTTCACAGATACAAAGTAAATAAAATATGTAAGAACAATGCACATCAACCAACTATCTGAAATAAAAATCATTCAGTACACTACATTTTAAAAAAATATTGAGTTGGTTCCAATTAGCACCAACTCATGCATGATCAATATTTCCTCATCACATCCTGAAGTTAATTAGGGACCAAGAGTTGAGAATCCTCAGATTTGTGGTTTTCATCATTACTAAAGTCTTGACAGAATTTGGCCCCGCTCCATCCAGCCCTGTCCCTTGCAGGTGTCCTCGCCTCTTGAGATGGGAGACTGCTAATTGTATTGATCTATTCACAGGAATGAGAGTGTTATATGGTAAAGCATTTCTTTGAAGATTAGACTTTTCTTCTTTTAAATGAGTAGTAGTTCTGCTCTGATTTACGGCACATACAACATAAGCAGAGGTGTGAGGGTGGAACAGCTCCCCACAGTGAGACTACTCACCATGCAGGCGGCCTGCACCGCCTCAGACACGTTTCCGGCGTTAGGCTCGCACCAGAAAACGTGGCACTCAAAGCGCTGGTTCCCAGTGTCCATGATGAAGGCAAATGTATGGACATCCTTCCCGACGCCCATGAAGGACAGGAACCGCACACGACACTCCACTAAGACTTCCTCTTCACTCTGCAAAACACACTGTTCAGCAGTCCACTCTCTGGGATGCCAGGCAATGGTCACAAACACGTCTGGACCTTAAATCATAGCATCAAACTTAGAGTGGCCGCCTATAGAAACTGGTATGAAAAAGTGGATAGACAGACTGAATTTAGGAAGGACTTGTATGATTCTAGAAAGGCAAGTTTCTACGAGTGACCAGAGAGACCATCACTGCTGAAGGTGTCTCATTTCGGCATTTAATCTTGCTCTGAACCAAAATGCAGCCACGATGTGTGTTCTGTTCTCTGTCCACTATGCTCCACACTTGTTAGTTCACCAGGGTAGGACAATGTCATGTTAACTTCTTATGTCTTGCCCACCTAGGACCCTTAGTGGCTCGAAACCCATTCGCCAGATGAACCCACTAGAAACAGCAGAGTGTTCAGAGGAAAGGAGCCAAGGGGTCTCTCTTCATCCACTTCCTCTTCCCAAGCTACACGTCACACTGAATCATATTTCATCTAAAACCATGTAAAACAAAAAGTTGCCAAATCATTTTTTTTCTTTACAGGAATCCATATGATGCAGTGTAAAGAACAGTTCGGAATTCATTCTCATGAACACGTCATTTACAGCAATCATGTGGGTTTTTTAAATTAGTAAACACATCTAGCATGGCAACTTTGGGGCCATTATCATCTTGGCTTATTAAGTATTCACTCAGGTGCTATAGGATTAACAGGTAAATTAAGCTAATGTCAAGAGAACAGGAAGTTTTCTGGGGAGAAATGATGTTTAAGGTTGAAATCTGGGTAAGACAAAAAGGTGGAGCACAGAGGAGTAGCACTTGCAAAGACGGAGGTAGAAAAGGGTGTGACATGTAGTGGCAAACAGGGTCAGTGAGTGTCTTATTTTTCTTTAGAAGGCAAATTGGGCTTGAAGGTGCCCTGCTAGTACACAGAAGTGCAGACCAAGGACTTGTGGTCTATGACAGGTGCTGTACAGAGGTAGAAAGTGATAGGGTCTGGAGCCAGACTGCCTGCATTCAAATCCTGACCCTGCTACTTCTAGATCTGTGACGTTGGGTAGTTACTTAACCTCTTTGTGTCTCAGTTTCCTCAACCACAAAATTGGGATAACTTGAGTTGATGCTAATGCTGCCCTCTCAAGATGACCAATGGACCCTACTACTACCAAACCACAAGAACTTCCATCACAGAAGCATCTCCTGTGCCCCACTCCCAGACAACAGAGCCCAGTCAATACTGGAGCCCAGAGAGTGACTGGCCAGGAAACCAAACCATTAGTCACTGCTGGTGTCATAGTCATCTCCAGCAAATGACCTCAATCTCTTGGGCACATGAAGAAGAATAATCAGGAGCATCAGAATAGAAGCTTCTGAGTTCAGAGGAAAGCAAAGGTGTGCAAAGATCCAGGCACAAAGGGCAAAATCTTTTTTTTTAATGTAGGCTATTTTAAGCACAAGCAAGCAGAACTCTCCAGAGGTCAAGCCATGGATATAAATATGTATCTAAGTTTCATGGAAGATTACTCTATCCAAAACCTCACTGTGACCCAGAAAGACCAACTACATCTATGGTTCTTCTTACCTTTTCACTGATGACAGTCACAGTAGCATCCGCCACGTTCATGTTCACTGATGGCCAATCCTCCTTGTTGGATGAGGTCATAAGACTTTCTATGGCATTGTTCAGGGTATCTATTCCTGTGGATAGAAGGGATAATTGTAAAAGTCCTAAAGCTATTTACCACTTTCAAATGTGGGTCCAAACTGATCTTTTTTTTTTTTTAATAGCCCCAGAAGACATTTCATTCTTTGCATTTTGCTTAAAAGAAATGCTAGCTTTTAGAGAAAGAAGGGTCATGAGAAGTTCCAGAGATTTAGTGTGTGATATCCTATCTAATTGGACCATAGTACTCCTTTCTCTCCAAAGGTTCCTCAGATGCAAGTGTAGAAATAGTACTCAAGCAAATGCTACTCCTTTCTAAGCATGGAGCCTTAGAAAAGGGGACACAACAGAAGCCAGCATCCACCAGAATACCCCAATCTTCCTTCATCGTACTTTGTTACTTAAATAAGGCCAAGTGTGGGTGGCACCTTTATAAGAGTTGTATGTGCTATTCACTGAGGCACTTTTGCTGGATGTTCCCACAGATGCTTTTTAGGGGGATGGGATAACAACTTTATTGAAATATAATTCACATAATATGCAGTTTACTCATTTAAAGTATATAATTTTTCTATGGCCATGCTACCCTTAACAAGCCCAATCCCTTCTGATCTCAGAAACTAAGCAGGGTCAGGCCTGTTAGTACTTGGATGGGAGACCACCTAGGAAGACCAGGTGCTGTAGGCATAAAAAATAAAAAATAAGGGATTGTAAGCTGCCAAGGTCCTTGCAATCTGTGAGGTCAAACAAGGGTTGCCTCGCCTGAAAAAATAAAAAAATAAAAAATAAAAATGAAGTATATAATTCAATGGTTTTAAATTCATTAAGTTGTGCAACCATCACCACAATCAATTTTAGAAACTTTTTATCACTCCCCCACTAAAACTGCTCTATCTTTGAGGATATACCACTTCCTCCCAGCCCCTTATCCTTAGGCAATCATTTACTTAATTTCTATCTCTAGAGATCTGCCTATTCTGGATATTTCACACAAATGGAATCATAGAATATGTGGTTCTCTGTGACTGGCTTCTTTCTTTTAGCATAATCTTGTCAAGGTTCATCAATGTTGTAGCCTGTGTCAGTACTTCATTCTTTTTTATTGCCAAATGAAATTCCTTTGTATGGCAGTATCACATTTTATTTATCCATTCATCAGTTGGACATTTGGGTTGATTCCATTTTTTGACTATTATGAATGATGTTGCTGTGACCATTCATGTATAAATTTTTGTGTTAACACGTTTTCATTTCACTTGAGTGCCTAGGAGCAGAATTGCTGGATCAAATGGTAACTCTATGTTTAACCTTTTGAGGAACTGCCAGACTGTTTTCTGGGTCACACCTTAAAGGAAAGCATGAGGGCTCCCTCAGCCCTTCCTACCAGTCCACCAGTTGACAAAAACTAAAGCAGGTGCTTTTAGTTTTTTTCCCAGAGATGGAAGCCCCATCTGAGAACAGCAGAGCCCTTTATAGCCCTGGATCAAACGTCTCTGGAATGCTGGATAAATAAGAAATACGTGTCCATCTTGTTAACACATGCTAGAGCAGTGGCCTAATTCAAGACAAGGAAAGGGGGTAAAACAGTAGAGCTATCCTTCCAGGAGGATGAACACCTCCCATGAGCTCCCAAACACTTGCAAAGTGCAAAGACATAAATGTTTCACATACCAACTGGTTTGTCTACAGGTAGCATGCCCAAGTACTGCACGTGGAACTTCTGCACCAGCTCAGTCTTTGGTGTTGGAAAATCTACTACAGGGAACAAAAGGAACATGTCTCAGTGGTTCCAACATACACATAAAAAATGGCCATCACTCTGTATCATCTGAAATGCACTCCCTTTGCCACAATAGTCTCATGTTTCTAGAGGTAAATGAGGCAATTGTTCTCTAAGAACGGAGACATTGAGGCTCTGTCAGTCAAAATTCCATTCAACTTTCATTTCTAGGCAGAAAAACATTTGAAAGCAGGAACTAGAATCTATGTGTTAAAGCTGTTATAGTCTCTTTGATGTGTGTGCCAAGTAACAGCTGCTTTTGGTGTCCTATTTGTTAGGTGTGGTTTCTGCTCAGAGGAAATTTAATCACAAAGGGTGAAATCAGGGGAAATAACTAAAATATTAAAAAAAAAAAATTTATTTATT